AAAAACCCAAGCTTTTAGAGTCCCTTGGGGGGGGGGGGAGCCTAGCCCACCCTGGCAACCATCACCCTCTCTATTGTGTACAGTACTAGAGTAGTACCATGGTACTTTAAACTTATGGTACACAAGATTTATAGAAATCTTGGAAAAGGGTGGGGTACAATCTCTACAATATAATAGGAATTCTCTAATTACACTTTGATATGTACTGTGCTACTGAATGATTCCTTTATATTGGTATTTACATGCTACTTTAAGGTATTTCAAAGAATACAATGGTATTTGTCTTAATATCTAAATCAAAGGGTAATACTTTTAAAAATAAAGGTTCCAAAAAGGGGTTTTCGTAGCTATGCCATAGAAAAACTATTTTCGATTCCTCAAAGAACCTTTTATTGAAAGGTTCCATTACGTACCATTATGCAAAGAAATTTTTAATAATCTAAAGAACCTTTTTCAATAATAAGAACCTTTGCATTTGAAAGGTTCCATGGATGTTCTTCATTGAACCATTGCTGCTTTATTTTTAAGAGTGTATGGTACTTTTTGGAATTTATATAGAGAAAGCTGGAGCTGTGAAATGAACTAAAACTAATGATAAACAACTAAATAGCTATTGCATAACAATCTTAACATGCCTTGTAATTATTCATAATTATTTAAATGCATAATTAACAACTTGCATTACAGAGATGTCTATAAGGAATGAGGCATTGAAAGACCCACCACCAGCATATAACATATTACAGATCTGTACCTGTTCCCAGGGGCCCTCAGGTCTGAATTTAGTAAAGGATATGGCCATTCGGTGATCTTTTTGGCGTATTTTCTCACTAGGTTGTCTTCACTGAAGAGAAACAGAGAGCGGTTGACCGTCAGGCAGTTCTGTCGGACCGGGATCGGGTTATAGAGGGCCATGGTCCGGGCTCTCTGGGCCATCGATTGCTTATACATCCTTTGGGGCCCTGGCGGGCCGCCCTGCCTGCTGCCGCCGCGGCCGGGTCCCCCCTGGCCGGAGCCCCCACCGCCATACCTGCCCGGCACTTCGTCTCCGAACCGAGCCATTCTGTAGACACCAAACGCCAATCGTTACGAAGCAGCCGAGAAGGGGGTGAAGTCTCAGGGTGACAACACCACATTACACCCCATCCGCCTCAGCACAGAGCACACAGACATTCAGATCTGATCTTCATGGCTAAGAAATGTCCATCATAAAGCACCAAACAAGATCAGTGGATGGGGGGATGTGGGTGTGAGAGTGTGTCAGCGCCAGAAAAGGACTCAGATAACGAGATTGATTGATGGATAGATGGAGTGTGTCTTCAATTGTGCAGTCAGCTCAACAAATAGTCAAACATAAAGAGATAAAATGTCGACGGATTATCTTCCTCAGGAGGGTGGGATCCACATTTTAAGAAGTATCTCCCGTCTCAACAGCTCGGTGCGGGTCGTCTTGCCATTTGTAAGGTGTACATACAGATCCTTTTAGCATAATTGCGTTAATACATTACATGTAAATTGGCATCAACTACATCAGGTCTTGTGTAACGTGTCTTTCTCAGGAGTTGCATTCTATTTGTTTTTTTTCACATCCACAAGACAGAAATAGAATAGAAAAATGGAGAAAACCTTTTAATAATTAATTTATTTTTGTGGTATCCGCAATGTTTGGTACAGGCTACTATGGCAATATTCAGCCTCCCCTCCGTCAAACTCTCGAATTACTCTCGCAAATGCAGACGACGGGGCTTCCCCAAAAAATCCACACCTCGGTGACATTTGTTGATTTTAGTCATTTAAGTTTATTTGCTTTTTTACAGCCATATCGGTCCAATACGTTGGGCGTGAGCGCGCTCAGTGAAAACAAAAAAGACCATGTCAAGATATAATGATGATCTCTCGCGGTTTCTCCCTCGATTCCTCACTAAAACAATTATCATCTATACTCCAGAACTCGTAGACAAATCCAAGACGCGAAAAATCCGACGGTGGTCGTTGAAAGGAGCATCATCAGTTTTGGAGAGGCGCCGGAGCGCGTGGATTGAAGCTCGAGCTCGCATCTTCTGAGGTAACCGAGAAGAACCAAGAGGCACCCATATCCTGAAGTACCCCAAAATGCTCCGCTTCGGGGTTTTTTCTGTCACCTCAGAGGACGACGAGAGATTATTTCGGCTTTAAAAGTTACATTTTTGTGGGAGAAAACGAAACGGAGACGCGGGGTCTCGAGCGCAATCCTCCTCGGATAAGCTGGTGGGTTTAGAGCATCTGATCAATTTAACGCTCGTGCTCAAGCCTTGCAGCACATGACGCGCGTCCCCGTAGCGATTCGCTTATCCTCCAGCACACTCCTCCTTTTGGCCAAGACAAGACTCAAACGAGCACTGCGTGCCATTTTGCTTCTTCTCGCAAACTGTGAGAGACGAGATATTTTCCAAAGGCGACGGACGGATTCATATCTCTCAATACGTATTGTGTCTGAGTCATACACCTTGCCGGAAGAGGGAGTGTGTATTTGTTGACCAAGTATGGATTTGTGGGGACTTTTCAGTGTCTTGTTACACATATTAAATGTTACTACAATGTGTTACATTTACGGCTAAATAAATAAATGGTAAGATAAAATATTTTTCTGTAGGTCATTATAAATGTACGACACTAACATACAAATGTTTTGGAGCAATCATCTTCATATTTTTGCATTGTCACAAAATATTTCAAATAAATAAGCTATATATTGTAAATTGTATACTTTAATTATGTTAACTTTCTATTCATCAAAAAATCCTGAAAAATGTATCATGGCTTCAATAAAAATATATTATCTTGAGCACCAGATCAGCATATTGGAATGATTTCTGAAGGATCATGTGACACTGAAGACTGTTCCATCACAGGAACAAATTATTTTTATTTTATAATATATTAAAATAAAATGAGTTATTGTAAATTGTAATAATGTGTCACAATATTACTGTTTTTCTGTATTTTTCATGAAATAAATGCAGCCTTGATGAGCATAAGAGACTTCTTTCAAAGGCATTAAAAATATCATCGACCCCAAACTTTTGAACTCAAGTGTATACAACTAATAAAAGAAATAAACAGTTTTCTTCTTAAATCAAATTTAAACAAATGCGATGGTTCACATGGAATTCTGAGAATGTCCCTTAATTTACTTTTAAGTTATTATAAATGTTATAAATACATAATCTTAAAATTTTTTATTAGGTACATTTTTTTAGCAATGTTTAGAAGTAAAATGAAATGCATGATATGTCTTTTAAAACACAATATGATTTTTTTTTCTCGAATATGTCAATATAACTTACAGTACAGTTAACCAATAACCCGTTTTTACATAACAGTGCAATGTGACGCTCTCTCTCTCCCTGAACAGACAGTTTGTCTGCCTAAAAAGACACTCAGGAGAGAGTGTATGTCCTAAAAACACTCTGCTCATATCATGCCCATCTGTCCTCCAGGCACCAGCCTCTGAAATGCCTGAAAGAAATAAACAGTTTTCTTCTTAAATCAAATTTAAACAAATGCGATGGTTCACATGGAATTCTGAGAATGTCCCTTAATTTACTTTTAAGTTATTATAAATGTTATAAATACATAATCTTAACATTTTTTATTAGGTACATTTTTTTAGCAATGTTTAGAAGTAAAATGAAATGCATGATATGTCTTTTAAAACACAATATGATTTTTTTTTCTCGAATATGTCAATATAACTTACAGTACAGTTAACCAATAACCCGTTTTTACATAACAGTGCAATGTGACGCTCTCTCTCTCCCTGAACAGACAGTTTGTCTGCCTAAAAAGACACTCAGGAGAGAGTGTATGTCCTAAAAACACTCTGCTCATATCATGCCCATCTGTCCTCCAGGCACCAGCCTCTGAAATGCCTTTGGTTGCTAATTCCCTTGGTTTACTCTCCAGCTAAACTTGCTGAGAAAACATGTCTGAATTCCATCTGAAGACAGCTGGTGGCATACTAAAGGGCTGTGAACTGAATTTGGGAATGTTCTGTTTGAAAGCAATCACAATATTTGCAGTGAAAATCAACTAACGCTGTCCATGGTGCTGAAACCGCACTATCCCCCTGCACTGAAACTGCGTTATCCGTGGTTCTGAAATAAAAAAAAACAAACTCACTATCAGAAATAAAGCGTTGCAGGTACAGCATGATTAGTCAGCGCACTTGTTCCGGGAGCTTTCGTGTCAAGCCACCCATAATAATGCAATAAAAGGGGAGGATTCCCACTGAGGAGGTGGAGTGGTTGTCCTGGTAGTGGGCGAGCATAAGTGTCGGTAAGGGGCGTGGATGCGCAGTCTGTAGCGTATCTGCTGGAGCGCCTGGTGTAATGCAACAAAGATGATGAGCCTCCGCGTTGAGAGACATGGTTAATTAAGGCCTAATGCATTCGCTTGGGGAGACAATTTGACAAAAGGTTTTGTAACACACAGCACAGAGTAGAGAGAGTGAGTGAGAAAGAAATCACCATTGCAGAACACACTGTACATAGGTGACTATTAACTGCTAGCATTCAGCAAAAACATTTTAGAAATTTGCATCATAACCAGTTCACATGGGAAAATTAATGAATACAAAAAAAAAAATCAATGTTTATATATCTTGTGTGCATTCGGTGCAGCATGTGTGCGTGTATACGTAACAGCATGCTATGTGTTCCTGTGTTTCTGGCTGAGCCGTGAGTCGTGCTGGGGCCCTGATGTGCACCATTGTCATTCAGACCGCGTTTACACGGCAACCCTGCAGGAAGCACCCAGTGCTCCCCCGCATTCTCTCTCTCTCTCCCTCTGGCTTGCTTTTTGCTCTCTCTCCCCTGCCTGCTCCTCTCCTTTTTCGTTCCATCCTTCCACTTCCTCTCTCTCTGCACCCATCTAGCCTCAAGTAAAATAAGAAACAGAGAGAATGGATCAGAATGCACGGGAAAAGGAAGATGAGAATTGTAAATATGTGTGAATTTGTTTAGAATGGAAAGACATATAACTGTCTAACCACCTGCTCTCTAAGCTCTGGCCCTTCAGGAATATTCAGGATTACCAGATGGTGTTTTGACTGCACATAGCATGAAGCATGATAACCCTTACTTCTACCACAAGCAAGCGGTGAGAATTGGATCCAAATTGAAAGCTCACACTCTACTGTTATAAAGCAATAAGGTTGTGGCAGAGTAGTTTGTGTGTAATGTTAATTAACAACATGTACTTATGGGAATAGTTCACTAAAAAAATGAAAATTTGCTGAATCGTCGCCCATCTTTAAGCAATCCAATATGTAGGATTAGTTTGTTTGTTCCTCAGAACAGATTTGGAGACATTTAGCATTACATCACTTGCTCACCAATGGATCCACTGCGGTGAATGAGAGTCCAAACAGCAGATAAAAACATCACAATAATCCACAAGTATCCCACATGACTCCAGTACATCAACTAATGTCTTGTGCAATAAACAAATTAATCATTAAGATATTTTTAACTTCAATGCATTGCTTCCATGAAATACGGGTCCCCAGTCCATAATATTGCTTTCTCCAGTAAAAGACATGCCTTGTCTGAATCAGGAGAGAAATATGCACAGATCATGCACAGTCCAAAACAGTTCTGAACAATTTTTTTTTATCAGTTGTTTGGACTCTCATTCTGACAGCAACCATAAGGAGCAAGTAATAAAATGCTAAATTGCTCCAAATCTGCTCCAATGAAGAATCAAACCCATCTACATATTGGATGGCTTGAGGGTAAGTACATTTTCAGCAAGTGTTCATTTTAGGGTGAACTATGCCTTTAATAATGGTTTAGGGTGAAGAATAGGGTTTAATCGCATGTAATTATGCATAATTTACTCTTATTACTATAGTAAGTACATGTGTAACAAGTACATTGTAAAATAAAGTGTTACAGAAACTTCTAGCAAATATCACAAACAATTACAAAGAAACATCAAGTAGCACACTGAATTAAAGTGTGAAATAGTATTTTCTTGTAAAATGTACTCCAATAATCAGTTTTAATTGTAACTTCAAAGAAA